AATTTTGTGAAAAATGCCAGAATGTACAATTCTTCAACAATAACAACCATTTTTTAAAGTTTCGCTATTCTTGGCTGGCTTAACGGAATGAACACATCTATCATCTCTACTGCAAAGGAAATCTACATTCCGCAACAGTAAACACTGCAGTGGAATAAAAACGCCATTATGTGATGCATTCAAAATTATTGTGCTCTGGTGCACTTATTTTAATCGCATTCCATCGAGGCAACTGCTGCTATTTGCACATTGGTCAGAAGACAACCCGTTTTTTCAGAATGTTTAACTTTTTTTGAGCAATTTTGTTTGCACAGTTAGAATTAGTAATTTAAGCACTAAAATCAGTTTTGTTTACTTTACAGAAGGGAGCAAAATATTTTTGACGTTACTGCTGAATATTTAATTGGTTGAGTTGGAGTCAAGGTCATCTTTACTGCTGGTGGCTTCGACGCGGACGACTGTAGCCTTGTGATCCTTCACACTCAAGTTAAAGCAGTCCAAAGAACAACGACGAATGTAGTTTTTACAACAACAAAGCTTGCGACTGTGGAATCCCTTCAAATGCGCTTATTTTGACCAGGATCCTAGAAATAATCTTCTTCAAATAAAGCCCTTTTGAATGCTACTACAGTATGTACTAATGCTATTACTAAAGGAAATTAATTGACTCGACTTTTTGCATTAGAATGGAGAAAATAACTCGCTTTATTATCAGCGTCTCTGTCCCGTTGTTTGGCAAAGTTGTTGTCGATGTTTGTTGATTTACCGCTAATCAGCCCAGTTGGACATCAAAAGAGCATTTACTTGGCCTTCGCCGATCTGATTTCGTACCTTCTCTACTCAATTCTCAGGCACAAAACTGTGGAACGGTCGAGTGGTAAACAGTCCTTTGCCTACCCACTTTTGTGTACGTGGATTCCGAAAAGGTGCTTCGAGCTGCGATCACTTAGACTATTAACTGTTAAAAAATCCTCAAACCTCTGATTGCTTATTTGAAAATTACTAGTGCCAAAGCAGTCCCGACACACAATTTATATGCTTCGAAGTATGTTGAGGCATTACGGCTTATTTTGTGACACCACATTAGAAATATTTTATGATTAACTCAAAAAATTTGCTACAACTCTCCACCTTAATGGGTGGGATGAGGTCTCCTTCCACGAGCTAAACATGAACAAACACTCTACTTCTCTCATATTTCCAGAAAGTCGCCTTTTTAATGGGAGAATGAATTTCTTGTTATCAGGAGTAAGGAGTTTTTTAATATTTAGAGCACGTTCGCCATACATCCCCAAGTCAAGAAAAGTTGGAAATACCGTAGCAACAAATAAGCGTTTACCAGTCCAGCTATCATGAAGTTTCTGTTTCAAGTTCTGCGATTTGTTTAAACACATTAATTGCTTTGGCGATTGGAGTGATTATTTAAGTCTCGACAGTCTTTTTTCATTATGTCTATACTTTTGCGCACTCGTGGAGACAATTTTGCTCTGAAGCCCAATACGTCGGGGGCTCACCTTCATGCCAAATAAAAGGTTTTAAGTTGACTTTGATGAGGTCAGTTTATGCACCGTTTCACATTGAAGCACCCCAAAGAGGCGACATTTGAAACTAGCCCTATTTGAAGTACAGCTACTTACAAGCAAAATCTTAAGCGTGCACAATACAGAAAGCGTTGTATAAAATTATGCGTTCCCAAAGCTGAAATTCATTGAACTTATAGCAATTAACATTCTCTTCATTGAAACGCGCACGAGGAGTTTTCATATGTCGCATAAGTTTTTCATTAATGTTAGAGGCGATCCCCTGGTCGTCCACTTACCATGAAATGATGTCTTCTTTTGATACCAATCACCTGCATGGGCTTTCTGGCTTCCATGCTTCAGTCATAGTTCCTACGTCGTAAGAGGCTTCCAGAAGCCGGGAGAAGGCTTTTTACATTCGATTCCCTTGCTGCTTCTTCCAGAAAAATTGTGGAGACGCTGCATCCGAGGAAGGAATTATTAATATTCAAAAAACACTGCTATTGCCTGAACGCCTAGATGGGAATTTGATTTAGTGTTTGAAAATCCTCCATCATATTTGCAGTCACAGTCATGCAGCTTAAATTGCAGTCTCTGTTCCCACAATGAGGCCTCGAGTTATCCTGCACGCTGTACATGCGTCTCTCATCAAGATCACTTCTGGGATTTCCCATTTCTGGTCACCCCGAGAAGCGACCATCGAGGCAATAGGGAATCGTCTGAACCAATGCGTCTGGCCTGCAGCTTCCACGCTTCACATGTACCTCCCAGAGGCCCCATTCACAAACACCTCATTCTCTTGTAAACACTCACGGTTTAATCCGGCGCAACACGGCGCAATGTCAAGAAGGTGATATCATACTTAAAAAGGGGACGTTTTTGTGCGCATAAAGCTTTGTAGTTCCGTCAAAAAAGGAACATCTAAGGCGGTGAATCACCTGTTAAGAAATAAAGAAAGCACCCAACGCTCAAGTTCTGGCCCTTTTGTTTTTTTTGTGTGGTCATAAGGTGATGCAACTGTCGGCGCATTTTTTTGCGATAGCAATACAACTTTTGCGAAATTGAGAAGTATCTTTTTACAACCACCTAAAAGAAAGGTCAAAATAGGTGTGCAATAGTCAAGGAGAATGAATAACTTTCCTTAAACCTGAACATGGTCTCAAGCCCAATCCCTCCCTTTATAGACAATAGGCTGAAGGGTGTATGGTAATCATAGGAATTGCCATCCTTAATTAGAACCTTATCCTATCAAACCCAAGGATGGTTAATTTAATAGCCTCTATCCCTACTTTTCTCGCCTATCTGGTACAGATATTTCACATTCACAACCCGTTCTCTCCACGCCTCTCACCCTCCCATTCACACAGTTGCCAACTTTAAAATTGGTGCGTGTGCGTGCGTACGTGTGCACGCGCTTGAATGGGCTGCGTTTAAACGACACGGAGTTGCGTGGAGGAGCGTGCTTCTGAGGTCGCGAGAGGTGATTGGTTAAACATCGCGTGCAATGAGGCGCGCGTTATATAAAGTGTATTGTTATTCCAAGATCGATGGGAGCAGCTAAACGATTCGGCTTTATGTACGTATATAATATGACTATATGGCGTTTATACGTCGTCTGAGGCACACCTGTTGTATAAACATTACTAGAGATGGCAATTTAGAGGGTCGAATTGGTCATTACGTCGAAGCGCCACAGTCGTTTTTGCTCTCTGCCAGAAATGTACCATCTGTCGTTTGCATCTGAAATGAAGACTTCAGTCATTAACTGACACTGTGTGGCCGTAGCTGCGCATGTCCAAACATTAAAGGAGGAATCCCCTAGAGGTGACACCAATTAGAGGAGCAGTGTGCTATTGCTGAGAATTGAACACATTACCAGATGTCAATTAGCTACCAAAGTCCACTCTGGACACTCATTACGTTAGTTCTGCAATAATAGTCAATAATTACCCCTACCACCGACTACACCAGCTTTCGTATTCTTCTTTAAGCAAGTTCCAGCGCCTTTAACTATCGAACAACACCTATCCTTCCACCCTACCACCTTTCCATACTCCCGTCTGTCAATTAACTCGTCCATCGAATCAAACCCACAACTTCATGCTAACGTCTGTTCACTCTCCCACACCTCCACCTTACCTAATTTCACAAGACGAATTTCAGTAGTAATAATAGTAGCAGACGCTTTATTGCTTCTGCGCAATACTCAAGCAAGTAGCCATGATTGTGGATGATTTACAGACACACAGTCTCTTTGTACATACTTTTACAATAAATATAAAAAAGAGTATCATGAGTGCATGTATGTGAATGCACCAACGCCTCTGATCACATGGTTGTGCACATCGCAAATACACATACACACTACATACATCAGCCGCAAATGCTGAGCAATAACCTCGTTACGCGCACAGGGGCAAAAAACAGAGGTACAACACGACAAGTATGACAATTGAGGCAAAATGTACACAAAGGGACGCAGATTGATGAGTTCACATCTACCTTTCCCTTTTCCTCTATTGCGGTTGGTGTGAAGATGCAGAAGACGATTGAGGAGGAGGAGGAGGAGTAGGCTGACCCGATTGCTGTTGTCTGGCACCGCCGCTGGCAGCAATGTTAGCTGTGGCTGGACGCCGAGAACCACTGGAAACAGGGTGAATTCGTGAGAGGAGAATCTGCGACTCCGGAACAACTACACCACCACCACCACCGCGTTGCTGTGTATGTTGTTGGATGGGAGAGGTAAAGAGACCATCGCGAGTGCGGTGAATCGGTGTCGTTGTTGTTGCTTGGCCCGCACCTGATGCAGCTATACCACTGCCAGCAGGAGTTACGGAAAGTGTGCGAACGAACCGTTGTGTGGGGAGAGCGGTTCCCGGTCGAAACTGGGAGTGAAGGACGCTTGTTTAATAAAATTAGTTGTGAGACTGAGCAGGATCATGATAAGGCTGATCTTTCAAGACTGAAGTAATTTCATTCAATGCCAAGTCGCCTAGAGCCAACTGCATGCCTAATGTTTGCACAACATGACGTGACTAAAATTCAGATATTATGAACCAGTAAAAAATATTAAAATACTCAAGATAACACGGAACACAGGAAGATTTTTATTATGCAGTGAGCTTTGAAAAGTCCGTCTTTACGATTCCAGTTACTTCATGGGCAGCACCAAACGGATCTAAGGAATCTTTTTGTGTTTACTTTAAAGGACAAAAAAACAACAATAATAATGACGATTCGAATATTTGAATTCAAGTTGTGCTTATTGTTTGGAGAGGCTTACATTAAAATAAACGCAAATAATATCATAGGATGCTACTTAAGAATGGACCACTCATTGCCATCGTTTTTGACAGTTAATAAGAGGAAAAAACACAAAGTATAGTTTCCACGATGCTTCTAGCCTGACTTCATGAAGTTGCTGGCGGAGAACGAGATTTAGGAGGTAAATAACCGTAATAAATGTGAATATCGGAAGCAGACGAAGATGAGAGATTGATGACATTCCACAGAATACAACCCCTCGTCGAATGATGTCGAATACCCCATTTATTTTCTTACATGCATCTCGCAGCCGCACGAACAAAACAACACACATTTCAACTGTCAGAAGGCCAGCTCCACACGAGATGCCCAGTTGATTGAAACCACTACCACCTTTGTACCGGCATGAAGTAGCAAAAAAAACTAATAGTAATGTTTCGTTGGAATGAATGAAGCCCTGAAGGAAATTTCGCAAGCCACGAAATCAAGAAAGCAGATTGTGGAGAATGAGTATTGAAAAGCAAAAACGAAGTTCGACAGTCCCAAAACCGAGGAAGGCCTATTTATTCCAAGAGGACAGATAACAAGCGCTTTCGACATTTGACAGAATTCTAGGAAAGAAAAAGAGGAATCAAGTGTAGAACAATTTGTACCCTCTGTTGGTCGGAAGAACAACAACCCTCAGTGCCAAACCCTTGATGACGACACAAGGAATGCTTTTATGGTGATTGTAGGAACGATTCTGGAGGAGGTGGATTATCTAAAGGGGTCGTTTATTCAAAATTTACAGTCGCCTTAATCATATGGGGATGCCTGTAATCCTGAGAAGAGATGTGTAAGACCTCATTAAGTGGGACAGCAATTTACATTTTCTCTGTTTAGAAGGAAAGAAGATCAAACCTAGTCATCTTCACACAAGCAGAAACACTCCCTCAATTGAATCAAGAACTTTTTAAAAAAAGGAACTGGAAGAAGCGTAGTTGAGAGGTGTCAGTATCAACTGTTCAGAAATAACAAATTCTGTTCCGGTGCAAAAGCTGAAAAAAAACTGGTCAGAAACCACACATGACTGCGACCGGGAGAATGCATTCAAAATAACCTGAACATTTCGTGAAAAATGAGTAGTTGCAACCTCCCATTTGAGTGCTCAACACGATACTAACAAGTGAAATAAATGTCGAAAGATAGCAAAAGAAAATACATCGAAACCCAAACAACTCAGTTCTGGTTCATCAAGCGTCGAAATTGATCGACCGTAACCCGCAATCTGAAAAAAAAGTGGTAGAAGAAAAGTAACTGCAGAAAACGAGACTACCTGCTGACGAGGTCTAATGATTTGTGGGAGGGCCTGAGCTCCTGCCGACAGGAGAGTAATGCCTGCAGGTGTAGCACCAGAAGTCTGATGTTGATGATGATGGTAGATCACCGAGGCAGGTCGGGCGCTACTTGTAGTGGCCAACACCGTGACCCCTCCAGCACCACAACCACTTGCATTTGCGACACCGCCTGCTTGCGATACCCCCGCCGGAGTCAAGGTCACACCGCGTCTAACCATTGTTGTACCTCCCGTATTCTGGAAAAAAAGTTAGAAAAAACTGCATTGCGAAGCGACAACGGTTCAAAGAGTAGGAAATGAGGGAACACATAATATCGGATGATGACAAGAAGTAGAACGAAACTAATTGCGAATCCACCGATCAAATGGGTAAGTAGTGTTAGTCGAAAAAAACTAGTTTAAATTACCATACACATACAAGGTAACATTAAACGAGGAGTCTTTAAAAACTGCCACCTATACCAATAGTTATTTCAAGAAAACATTAAGGTGGACGCATTTTAGCAGAATAAACGTCAATCGTCTAAAAAGCATGAAAAAAATCTGACAATTCTGACAAAAAATGGAAAGAAAAGCTCGCACCACATCTACTGTGACCATAGAGAGAACGCAAAAAAGCAAGGAGAGGGCAAAAATAACACGTCCCAATTAAGCCAAATTTCTGAAAATAAAAAGAAGTTGACACCCTCCAACATGCGCTCAAATAAATCACCATAGAAAAACAATCAAAGTCAAATTAGCAAAAATGACCCACTTTCCGTCTTATTTTTTCACAAAAAGGTGGCGAAAGGACGATTTGGAAGCAGGAATTGCAATTTTACACAATTGATCCAAAGAAATAACCTCAGACGGAAATAAAGTGGTGCAAGTAAAAACAATTTTCGACAAAAAAATAAAAGAAGCACTACTTCAATCAAAGGAATCGAGTAAGGAGAAAAGAAAATGCCGTTGCCCCTTTCCCAGCTGTAAAATATGAGTGAGACCCAAATAATGACAAACCTCGCTACAAATATAAAATAGGCAAAGCCTTGCCCCATTCAGATGACACCGATTAACGAGAATAAAAGACCACACCGGAATGCCGTTGTCGGCTAAGATGGACACGAGTGAGGCGAACAAAAAATATTTCTATCCCAAGTTTGACATCAAATGAAGAACCTTACAAGAAACTTCAAGTGCTTCACAAGGGAGAAAGTCATGTACGATGAAGGACAAAAAAAGTAAGATAAAAGGAGAATGCTATCAACTTCTTCCTTTCGAGACTGATTACAACTAGGTGAATTTGATCAATGAAAACTAGCAGATTTGTACCAAACGTCAATTGCAGGAGAGCAATGCTTTCATCCAGGGAAATGTACACAAACGAGAGGGGTTAAATGCTAAGAAGGCGCAGACAGACGTCGACTGATGAAGACATGATGAAATCATAACTCCAGCGGCAAATTTGAAACAGTGGATAGGAGTAAGTGAACAGTACAATACTAGCAAATCTTTGAGATGGGAGGAAATTCACAGACCAGATCAGTAGTGTTAAATATTTTTGTCGGAAAATGTGAACAAAAGGAGGAGGAAGCGGATGAACCCGTAGGGTGACTGAGTAAACCATAAAACCTAGGTATTGGCAAATGCAAACTAAATAAGGATGACGAAATCAAACGCTTTGAACCAAATAAAAGCAAACAACTGGACATTTAACAAACATATTTACCGAATAATGTGATTGAACAGATAATCCTCTAGACGGATTCACATTCTAAAAGGTAATCAACGAAGTGAGGTCATAAGTGTCTTCTAGGCATGAAATTAAAGCTACAAATACTCATAAACACGCCGACCTGATGAATTCACAGTGATGGAGAGCGCTCATTGAGGACCGTAACAAAAAAGAGAACATACAGACCAAAAAAATAGCAATCGAACAATTCAAATCTAAACAGCGATGGTAAAGTAATAAAACCATAAAAATGAAAACACCAACTCGCATTTATCCACAGAAAAAGAAGAGCATTGAAAACATTGCCGATACGGCAAGTTTGCAAAGAAACCAAGTGAATGAAAGATGGCGCCCACAATTGTGGAATAAGCACACAAAAATGCATGGAGTTCGTAAATTACAAACAAGGTGGGACAAACCGAGATCACATGCGCAGTGCCAGAGGCCGTGGCAGGTGTGACAGCAAATACCGACTGGGGACTGCCACCGACCACACTAGAACCAACACGACGCAGAATACCCGTAGGGGTGGCAGTAGTGGAGGACACTTGACGTGCAGCGGCACCCATTGATCCCGGCGTAGTATAACGGAAGACTGTTGGGGAGGCACCACTGCCACCATGGTAATTAACAGATGCAGCCGTAGAGAAGGGCTGAAATCGTATCAGTCCGTTAAAAATATTTTACTTAAATCTTGTGAGTAAAGAAACTGCCTGAAATGTAAAGGCAACTAACCAAAATGCTCGCTGAGCGTTGAAGGTTTGAACCACCACTAGGACTGCCGGTTCCAGAAATGGTAACGATGGTTGGATGTTGTTGATGAGAGTGGTGATGAACCCTAGCGGTGGGAAGTACACCAGGAGTGTTGGCGGAGCCGACAACAACAGCGGCAGAGCCAGACACAGGCACAGATGGCGTGGAAGTAGCCACGACAGCAACTGAAGGAACACTGGAAGGCGTGGGAGAGGCGGAAGAAGAGGCTACAGCGGCAGCAGCCGCAGCAGCTGCTGCTACGGCCTCTGTTCGCTGACGTGCCTCTCGTTCCTCCTTACTCTTGATTACCATCGCCGGTGTTATCAACGTATCTGGACTGATGTTATGCTCCTGAGATGGAAAAGCACGAGAGGTATACCAATGAGTGAGTGGGAAGCAATTACAATCGAATTGCGGAATGATTGAACAACTTTAAGAGCATCACTTTATTTTGAAGTTACCCTCTGAAGTACGGCCTTAAGAAAATGTTGTAAACCAAGTTCTAACCGATTGCGATATAGCCTCTGCTATCAATAAAAAGTCTGCCACTAACCATGTACAAAGCTTAAGTCCAAGCCCAGATTTTCAAGAACTCCACCAGTCACTATTCCGAAGGCAAGCAAATAAGCTCCTGCAAAAGCCATCGGCTAGGTACTGGAAACGCTCTGCAAATATCAGCATCAAAATGGAAGAGACTAATCACTTACTTGAAGAGCAGCAATATGGGATGGATTCTTCTGAATCACCGTCGCTCCGCTAGGCAGTTGTGGTGGCACTTGGGACGCCGAAGCGGCGGCTGCGGCCGCAGCCGCCGCCGCCGCGTTTCGCATTAACATCGTTGCTGCAGTCGCTGGTCCGCCCACCCGCTGCTGAGCTTGCGTCTGAGGATGATGGGAGGAGACCATTGCAGAGACGCCAGGGTGATGATGATGATGGAGGTGGTGGTGGCTGCTCGAATTTCCTGACTTAGGTGTCGCTTCACGAACACACTTACGAAGAATATTGATTATTTGATTGTCTACCAGACCGGTGATGGGAGCAGCAGTGTTGACGGTAGCAGAGCCTCCAGGAGTTTGTGTAGAGGCGGTAGCCAAGGTAGAGAGATGCGACTCTAGATACTAAAAACGAAAAGATGAGGAGAATAGACCCCAAGCCATAGTAAGTAGCTCAAATTGTAGCCCTGAAAGAATTACCAATATTCATATCAAAACCTCGTTTAATGAGAAGCCAGCACAATGAATACTGAACTCTACACTTTTGTAATTAAATCAGAAACTTTCATGGATGCCAGTTTGTGAGGAAATATGAGCAGGAATTGAGAAGCTTTGTGTAGCTCGTGAAAAGTGCTCAACAAACACAACACTTCTTGATTTGACGCGATTACCCAGATTAACGTTTGATGCAGTCATTGAAAACACTGCGTTAAAACGCACTAACAAGTGAAATACGTTGATATTTCACAAAACCTTTTTCAAACACTCTTCTTTAGCCAAATTTTTGAAGGCATAGGTAAATATTCATTCTGGTGGAATCACTTGGGCCAGTAGTTGCCAGCACCAATAACAATCGACCAAAAAGAGTTGCGACTAATGGTACAACTCATGCATTAGGCTGTTCACAATACCAAATAGACGATACCATATGATATTCACATTGCGCAATCCGTCGAGCCGATCAAGAAATACCAGAAACAGCTCTATCGGGGAGAATAAGGAAGCACTAAAACAGACTTATGACTCTTGAATAATGTAAAGAGGATAATATTGGTTTAATAAACACACCTCGCTACTTAAATATGAAGTGAACAGTATCAGTCAAAATCAATACAACCAAATTCCTCGTAGAGCAAGAGACAAGTATTCGAAATGGTCATCAGCAAGGCACAGTCTACACATCGCGTAAATAATTACCAATTACTTGAGAGCTGCATCGAAAGAAAAAAGTAGCAGCTTTTGAGTCTGTACTCGTTAATACTTAATGTTAATTAAATTCGAAATAAGTGTCACAAAGCCAGGAATAATGCCATACTTCAGACCCAACAGAATAAGGCAGTTATTAAGTACCAGGAAGTACTGATAGCCTCTCAATTTGTTGGCAGGACTGGCGGTGGCGCCACCACTGGCGACTGTGAAGTCGTTCGAGACACCACTAATGGAGGTGTTTTGGTCCAACGGACTAGCTGAAGGCGGCATGATAGGGGTGGAGAGACCACTCTTCAATTTATTCTTCACCTTCCGTCCCACACTCGTTGATGACCCATGCTGTTGATGTTGCTGGTGCTGCAAATGGTGGGGGTAGGTCGAAATCGGGCCGTCTGAGAAAAGTGAAAGCGTAGTGAGGACAGTTGCGAGGGCGAATTACAAATCTTAACCTAGCTTGGTTAGGTAACGACCTGCGTCATGTGGCTGCCAACAGTGTTCGAGGCCAATCAGATACAGCGCAAACTACAACATGTTCTTTTGGGCACGTGGCATAAATGAGTTGGCTAAAACAATATTTGAAGCAGACATTTATCTGGATTTTTGTGTTGCCAGCATGTATGACATTGTTGACAGTCATGAAGTCGATTATTAAATAATGCCTCAACAGGTTAACGCGAACTTCGCCCAGAGAAACTAACGTCAGTATTCTGAGGCAAATAAAGTTCAGTGCATTTTAACAAACTGACGAGCATTGCAGATCGAGGCCTTGACGGCTATAAAAGCACCGACAAAAAAGCTGAAAACTACCATTTCTACACGTCCGATCACCCCCTCAGTACAAAAAAGCCACTTAGCTAGCTCATACAAAGGATCAGAAAGGTGGCCTTTGAAGAGAAACTTAAAGGTAAGTATGGTAAAGTACCAACTTCTCATTCAAATTCCACGAGTGTTGTTGTTGAGGATGCGCTTAAAGAGCGCAAAATGAGAAATCAGAGGATTGCATAACTTAAGATGGAGTAAGACAGCCCGTTTGTGGTCCAAAATGCGCTCACAAACGCAACCACAAAGATGGGATAAGCAAATCATTTTTGAGTAAAGCCATGTAAAAGTGACCACACCACTTGAAATAGCAGAAGTGACTCATGAGTCGTGCTTATTCATTTACTTCACTAACTTTGGAATGCTCAGAATTTATTTTTCATTTTGATCTGATGGTAGGACTAATGACTACACCTGAGTCAGTTAAAGCGATTAAGAATAACTTTATGGGGGACATGGTCCACGCTCGGTTCAAGTGATATTGGAGCTATTCAAAAAGAAAATTGTAACTTTTGAGAGCCAATGATGATGGGAAGCTCTAGACGTTGGTTTTGCAACTCTACTCCTCAATCGGCTTGATGCAGTAAAGTCCCACCAACAGTCAACGCTTGAAAGGAGGCAAAACGGCTAAAGTTTGGGAGTGAACCCCACAAACTATAAAAAAGGTTGTTACGACGTTCAGCCTGTTTAACAATGCATACTAGAGGAACGCAATTACATGTTACCATAGGTGGTGGAGAAACTTTGCAACTAATTTTTGAAATAAACATTGGTGCCATAAACTGTGTGAGAGAAATTCAGTCAAAATCAAAGCGCAACTGCTCGTCGAAGCATGCAAATACGGTTGGTGGTCCAAGTTAACGAAATTTGGCGATTTTGATTTGCTTTTTAAAGGTGCTAGCCTACGAACATCAAGTGCGCACTAGTCGTTCGGTCATTTTTGAACGTAAACTGAGTAATTCTCGTGAAAAGTCCAGTGGTCAAGCACCCGATTGCCAAATCATGTGCGAATGATTGATGTGCTCTAAAGGGATAGCCACACGGATAGACAACCACCGATAAACATCATGGGAACCAAAGTGAATTACGCCAAACAAATGGATTTGGCCAGAGTAAAACGAAAAAACTGGCCGACGTGCCTTAAATGATTGCTGTTCCGATGATATCACATCCTTTGAAATGAAGCAAACAACTGGATGGGAAAGATTGGGCTGCGTACTATACGAGCAAGCATAGGAACACATACAATGACCGCTCCGAAAGCTGTCCATTTTGCTTTTCATGGCGCCTAAAAAGATCTCCATCTCAAAACCTCCTGTCAAAGAATGGACAAAGCCCTTTCAAACGATCCGCATTAAGAGTTGGTCATGTAAATTAATAGCATTTTGATCAATAAACTACCTGCTACGAACAGCTTTTGTCCGTGTTCCATTGGTCCATTGATGCCACAGAGATTGATTGAGAAGTTGAACAGACCAAATTTAATTAAAGGAAAAATAAGCTATACTTGTCACCGGGAGTCAAGCCAGAATGTACTGATGCGATCACGCCTACACATCTTTAAAATGCTGCACGAAATGAATTTGAAATCGGCATGACATCAGGACATGGGTATTAATGCGGCATCATTAAAACATTGGAAAAAAAGAGGCGGATGAAACGCATCTGATCCAAACATACGGAGATCCTTCTGTCTGCTAAACCAATATTCGTGATTAAACACACCAACCTTCATCAGTAGGTGGAAGTATCAAGTCGGCCGCAGAGGAGGTCACGAGGGCAGAAAGTATGCGGTAGTAGACCAGGAGGCATTGGCGACAGCTGCGATAGGCGCGAGTAGCATGGAAGTTGTTAAGGAAAAACTCCACCAGACGAAAGTTTGGCATTCGTGTATAGGTGGAGGTAGCTGTCGCTTGATGATGAGGGGAGTGAGAAAGACACGAGTTGCCGACGGTGAGAGGAATGTCTTGAAGTTTGGTAGTACACTGAAAAAGAACAGAAATTTTTTATCTTATGAGGCTACCAAGATGGAGAAGTAGTAGCGATAGTAGGAATTCTCATGAAGGAATAGAAAATAGTTTATTTAAAAGGACCACCAAAGCCAAAAATTAAATCAATTTCCTGCAGATCAGTCAAATGCTCTACGATGAACAAAGATGTTTTTGTCGAAAATAAGCAAGAGATGGAAGAACTAGGCAATTCCAAATGGGAAACAATATTGCTGAGAATCAAAGCTACTAGCCAGAAATTGACGGGCTGATATCAATGGGAGCAAACAGTTTTATCAAACTAAGGTAGAAAAACGGAGGTTCGTGGACTGATATGGATAATAGGAAGTGAAGTAGGGTATTTCGCAAACCGTGCAGATACCAATCATTGGCAGACTCACTGGAAATAGCGCAAAAACTTGTGACGTTCAAGTACCTAATTTTTTTTAAAATTTACAAAGCTGAGAACAGAATTGGCATGAAACAAGGGCGGTGCCACGAGTTTTATATGCAACTGAGAGGTTATTTCTGAACTAAAGACAGATGAAGCCAGTTTAGTGTGCGCTGAGTAAACTGAGATGCCAACCCGTCAAAACTCAAAACTCCATAGATATGTTAACCCTCAAATGCAATCGAAAGGACAAAAAATAAGAGGCTAGCTTTTTATCACTGAGATGGAACAAAAAAATTGAAGGAAGCAGTCATTATGGGCTCATATGTGCCAAAGTGAATCAAACAATCGCCCAAAATTCATTGTACCACTTAAGGCAAGGATAAATAAATATCTTAGAAAACCAGCTAAGAGGATTCTTAGTTTCCTTGACAGCAAGTGGACCTGAGTTTCGACTGTACAGGAAATAATCAAAGGAGAAAAAGGCAAGTCCAGTGTGGTATATTCAACTTCGTGGTTTAACATTTTATTGCTTCAAAGGAATCTGTGATGCACAATGCCATAGCAACCTAAAATTAAGCCGATATTGTAATATAACGTAAGTTGGAAGTGGCATAAAGCATTCAGGCGACATCACGCAACGTTAGCGTTGGCCGAACACATTAGTAGATCAAGGTTACTCCTACTGTTTTGTGCCGATTTTAAACTAGCATTAAGCTCCTTCCAAGCAAAATCAACAATGCACTACTTCCGCCGGTTTACAAATAGCCCTAAAATAGCAATTGACTTACCATCAGCAAGGCAGCCTCCTCCAGAGGTGACCACTCAAGAGGTTTGATGTCGCTAACCGACGACTGAGGATGACCCACAGTCGAAGAGGAGCCGTATTTGAAGGATACCATGCCGGAGGGATGAGGACCCTGAACACCGTCGGTAAAAACATGTGAATCAATGCTTAAATCATTGAAAGGAGTAATACGCACACAAGCAAGCCAAGCAAACCCACATCTCATTAAACACACATGCACACACGTGTGTATGCACGTACGTACAAGGGTTAATGCCTCTGACAAACAGACGAACCAATCAGGCAGCGATATTAGCAGGATCGCGACAGAGTAACGTCGCGCAGTCACGAAACAGGCAAGATTGGCGATGCTTTAGCCTCGTCAGGGACGAGGGAATCCACATTTTGGCAAGAAACAAGCCCTCGCTTGGGGAAGACAAAAATGGGGAAAGGCAATTGGATAACGACATGTTAGCCACTTGAACATCAGAAGGAAACCAATAATCCCTTTTTGAAATGAGCTATTAATTTCCTCAGACCAAGTTCTAATTTCAGCTTATCGCTATACGCCACACGAATTGGTTCATCCAAACAGCATAGATTTACAATGCTAAGCATTTGCGTCCAGTTGAAACTACACCAGTTCTGTCAACAGCAGGATTACACGACTGTGGTGAAGAAGACTTGGAACAGAGTATTTCACACCAATTTTGAAACATTCTAATTGACAACAATATATAAGTTTACGCACTGCATCGTCATTTTGCAGGTCATAAACTAACAAGAGGTCGTGTTTACTATCAGGCGCGTGGCGACACCACAAAGAGGTAAATCATTAAGGGGGAAACCATCCGAAACATGATGACCGGCTTACAGAATCGCAGTAAACGATTCGTGTCAATATTAAAGTACGCCTTGTATCTTTCAAAATCAGTACCTGACCCCTCAGATTTATGAGGTAGCAGAAATGGCGAGTAATCGCCTCTGTAATTCGGCTCAAAATAGACCTTCGAGACGTCCCAAATAAAGCATTTATCTTAACTTTATGCTACTACGATCCGCTGAACCTGCCGCGAAATCAACGCAATATGTTACGTGCCCCAAAACCCTAAAACAAGGTATCTGGTTACTTTTAACGCGGATAGAAGGAAAACGACTCGCATAATTAGACAATTTTGGAATTAGCTACAGTCTTCTAAACAATAGCATTATTAGATCCAGAGGAATTCTTTATCCAACCGGACAACTAATTGACCAACGCGTCTTCCCATTGACACCTTTATGGTCATAAAAATTAAATGCCGTCAATCAGAAGCATCCGCATTACGGAATTTAACTCATACATCAGTCTTTGAATTAAAATGAGCGACAATAGCAATGAGAACTGCAAACCACCCATCAACAGTTTAATTATCGGCGCATGATTTTAAGGGCCTGAGATTGCCAACTCAAGTCTTCTATGTTACATTAAAGCGGTTGTTCAACTTAACCACGAACGGCCATGGATTTTATCATTCAGCTAGCCCCCAGCAATCAACCCAATGGCGCAGGGTTCCGCCCACACTTTCTACTGAGAATGCAACAGAGTTCTGCCCAAACTCCAAGTCGACAAGATAGCATTTGCTATTTACAACACTACTTCCAAAATAAAGGGGCTAGATCTGCCAAATGTCCAAGTAAATGCCTCCCAACTCATACAACTTTATTTTGGTGAATTAATGACCACCTTTGCAGCGGTTTCAGAGACGACATCACTAAGGTGGTCGAACGGCTTTGCCGACAGACTTGTTTACTTACTAAATTGGTGGAGACGAACTTTGAGTTAATAATGTAACTAGTCTGTATGAGACAACGACTTTCCATCAATCAGTGTATTGAACTGAGACAGTATTTCTTCCCCTTGGAAAAACAAGACTCACCTGCCTCTGGGAAGCAGTCGGCTTCCCTGTCGAAGTAATGGCATATTTGGCAAGGAGATGGGGATTGTTGAGAGCAGGAAACACTCCTGTTACACCATTAGGAACTGCTGGAGATGAGCCACCGCCAGAGCCGCTTAGGCGCGCCGAACTCGTAATTTGTGTGGACGATGTTACACGACGGATTCGTGCTGAGGGACTGAAGGAAGTGCCTGAAGCACTGGCACCACTGCTTCCAACACCGCCGCCTTGATTGGTGGTGCTCGCTGCGCCTCCAGAAATGGTTCGAAGGTCGCGAGAGTAGAAGGGACGTGGAATAGAGATCTTCTGGTTGGAAGGAAGGGTCATGGTAAGGGTAGTAGAAACGGTGGCAGGAGTAATAGTAGGGGTGGAGGCCGCTGCTACTGTGGCAGAGCCAGTGGTCGTGCCGGTACCGGAGGCTGAATTGGAGGGGAGATCAGCTCGGTCCTGCGTGGAAGAACTGACCAACGGCTTTTCATCACCTAGAAGGAGGGAGGAAAAGAGTAGTTAATGTTTGAGAACCTATTCAAAAGGTCAGTGAGTGGCTAAGATGAACCTAAACTAACCACGATGTTTAAAGCATCCTACATTCTCAAAGGGATGAAAATAAATAACAGCAACATGAAAAATAATCTACTTGTCAAAACTTACATTTCAATTGAATGGGGTTGAGTTTAAGGGGCTTAGTTTATAAAGAAACTTCTCAAATTCCTTCTTCAACAAATATTCTATTGAAATGTGCTCACCAATCGCACATTCAAAATCGAATTTTGAAAGCCACTGCCTCTGCCTCTGCAATTTATTCACTCTTGAAGTTCAATAAATACAAAATTTATTTATCGACTCCATGCAGGTAAATAGTGAGCCATCACAAATGACAGCTACGTTGCAGCGAATTGCCTGTCACGAATTACTTTGCGTTTAAAATCAGTTCAATGAATTGAAGAATGCATGTAGACCCGGCAAGTAATTAATCAATACCTTTATAACAATGTTAATAATTTGATGGCGCTTGAATATGCGATAAAAGAAACATTTGTAGGTTTAAGAAAGAGTAAAATCGCGCAAATGGATAAAGACCGACTAGAAAGGGGATCGGTTAGCGCACACGTACATATCGGCCAGACTACGATGACGTCAGACACTGCTGCCAAAATGTACTGCAAAGTGCGCATGCATTTCCAACAGTAGCCATTCTGAAACCTAGAAAGCTCCATACAGCAATCGGTGTGCTGAAGTCAAAACTAGAAAGACAACTCTGTATCAAGTACACAAAGGCTACCCCTTCAGATTGATGAGGTCCATGCCAATTGGGAACAAAGCAGTTTCAAATCATCAAAGACAACTCACGTTCTAATCGTATTAACCTTCCAGCGCTACCATCAGTTACAGCAGAAGAGTTAGCGGTAGCAGCTGCAGCTGCAGCAGCCTTGTTACTCGCTGCACGTCTAGCAGCCATCGCAGCAGCTCCAGTAAGCCTGCGTTTCTTGGAGGGTGGAGCAGCAGCGCGACCACCACTGACATTCACACTATTGCGAGCGGAGAGCGTAGCGACGGCCGTTCGTTTGAGTGCGTAGCTCATGGCCGGCGATGCCGTTTCGACTGCTGACTTGGTTGAGGCGGATGCATTGACGGCAGGGCTGCTACCGACACTACCAGGATACCTTGTAGCTGTAGTGTTAGTAGAATCGAATAACGGAGATACAGTGGAGGAAAATGGAGGCAGCTCAGCTTCGGCCATTGCATCGGAGGCATAACCCCAGGTGGTAGCAGAGGATGAGTTGTCGCGAGTTTTTGCGACATTGGAGGCGATAGCCCTGGTAAGATCGAGCCTGTCGAAAGGAGCGGGAAGGGGTCCTTTGCAAAACTCGGGGTCTTCGAAGAAAGAGGGCACCCAGAGCTAGAAGGGGAGGAAGAAAGCGACCGAGGCACATATTTAAGCAAAGCATTCGTACAACTGATTACACTAAATAACATTTTCGCACTCATCCTGAAAATGACATTAACAAGGAGACAGCCTTGATCAAAGCTGGTTAAATTCACTCTTACTCGAGATGAATACACCTAGATTCTTTCGGCCAGAGATAGCCTCAAAATAAATCCACCTTCTAAAGACCTTAGAAAAACTTTGGGCTATCTTTTCCCGAGGAGTTTCCTTAAAAGACCAGACGGTAACGGTATGATCTTTAAGTGAATAGTAATACGCCTAGAATAGGTGAAAATAACATTGAAGCAAAGGAATGAAGTAAGGACGGGGGCAAATTGACAAGTTTGCGCGTATTTCAAGCATCGCGGGAATTTATATAGGCAATGCTGGCACTATTTAATGGGAATAGGAGTGAATTATTTGCCGAAAATAGGGGATTTTTGAAAGGACATATTAAAAACGTAGAAATGAAACCATTGGCATAGTACCAAGCATGAAACGCTGCTATGCAAATAACTATTAGATGTGATGACAAATGACAGTTTTTGTCCAAAAGTATTTTGACTGTTTATGTTGCCCTCCAGCTTTTGAACAAAGCCTCCATTAGCTTACGAGAAACAAAAACAGGTGTAAATTGAGTTTGCGCTTAATGAACCATAACCAGCTCACTCGTTGAAGGGTGCCTTAGAAACGAGGTTAACCGTCAACCAGCCCATACTCTCCCCTACCATGATTGGAAACTAGCAAATACAACCTTCTGGAGGAAAAAGGTTTTTCCTTTTACATCATTTCAAGTGCAAAATATAGTGAGGGAGTGCAGCAAATGGGATCGAGTTTACAAATAGTCATGGTGATTTGAAACTATATGCGCAAAAAAAGTACCAAAACAATCAGTCCAGCTGGTTGTAAGACCCGCTACCATTTACTACGGCCACATTTTCCAGTCACGCAGCCATCTGTATCAAATCTACGAGACTGAACCAAAAAAGCCATTTACCGGTGAGTAAGAAGAAAAGAGCAAACAATGGCACATGTTGTCCAATACAACATGCTAAAATTTACTTTAAATTTGTCGGAAAATTAGGAATAGAGTGAAGCTTACTGGTAGCTTAAAAGCATCTTCAATGGGTAGATTGTTCTCATCAGCGATTTCTTGTTCAACCATGTTCCCCGCACTCTCTCCAGGAGGCAAGTAAAAGAGCGGTTCCCCTTGACCCATAGTGAACTCCACGACTGCTTCCAGAGTCTCTCTCCAGCTGGCTTGATCCAACTCCCACATCTCCAGCACCTCAGGTGGCACAAGCCTAATTGGAGATTGTTGGAATAGGACGTCATCATAGGAATTTAGACCGGCAGCACGGAGAAGAGAATCTTCCGAGATTGGAAGTGAAACTACTGATTCCAATTGGGGATCAAGACAGTCGCTGTGCATTTCCACAGCTATGGCGGCAGGCTCGGCGAGGCTAGAACACCAAGCTTGAACGTCTCGTGGTGGCTCATGGAGGTCAAAACACTGAATGAGCTGGAGGAGAGAACATGTTTCATTCCACAGTGGTCAGTTGAGTCAAATCAAGTACGGCTGATAAATACATCAGAATAGTTGCTGTATGATTCAGCAAAGGCGCATGAGCCTAACAAGTGAACACGGAGCCCGTCGTTGCAGTTTCACACTAACCAGTTAATGTCAAAAAGCGCCTAGAACATTTCATGTAGAACGACTAGGGGATTGCATTACAGTTTGTCCAATGGAAGCATTATCGCAGCAGCTAGGGAAACAACAGGCGTAACCAAATTAAGGCCTCTTTGCGGATGAAAAAGAAGTTGACAAACAGGCAAAAAAACTCGACTTCAAGCAAAACACTACAAACACTTTCCTCGGGGCTTAAGCAACAACTCAAGTTCCACAACTTAATACTGAATTGACGATTAGCTTTTGGTATGAAAAAAACCCAAAACTGAATAGGATTAGGACAAAGTAATTTGATTGGCGATACTATGGCAAAGCTCCTAGGACCATTCGTAGTAATTTACGCAAACTTGCATCAAAGTGTAAAATCCAACCCATTATTAAAGTATATCTTAACAGGCTATGGATGTTTGTTCCATTTGATTCGCCATAAAACGACAACTACACTTACTAGATCCTTTTGAATTGGTGCTCGTTTATGGAAAAGCGAGGCATTGTCCGACTCATCATCCTGCGTGGTAGTCGCCTCCTCTTCCTCTTCCACCCCATCTGAGTCCAGAGGAGGGGGCATCGAGGTATTTGAGGAAACCTGCGACTGCAAAGGCGGCAGCGCCGTCTTGCTGCGCCAAAGAGCACGCCGACGAAGGCACGAGACCAATTGTCGCACCACATTCGGCTGCACCCGAGAGGAAGGAGGTATTAGTGGCAGTGCAACGGCACTACGTGATCTGCCAGTGGAGGCGAATGCAGCAGAAGCGGCGGGAGGCGATGCGGTCATGAAAACCGAATCAGGCAAAAGTTGGATGGCTGTCGACTTGACTAGACGGGCCTCTACACTGTCCCCACTATCCCACTCCGTTACCAAACGGTAGGCTTGAAGAAGAGGAGGAAGGGACTCGTTGCAGCGAGTCCTCGGGGGTACATCTACCAATCCGTTTATTGACCAGCAACGCAGCCTTTGGGTAATGGGAAATAACGGATGGATAACGAAATTTGAAACGATGAACAGTCAAGCTAAGACTTAAAATAAAAAAACTCAGAAATGAACAATTTAGTACAATATTTTGGAACGAATCTATGGAATGCGATTTGGGAGAGATTGGAGAAGCAAAGACAGTTTATAAAATAAAAGGATACTATGTTTAATGACAAAAATGGCGCAAACAACCATACATACAGCCACAACAGGATCGAACGTGACCTTCAGATAAGGCTTCGAAAACCGAACGAAATGTTTTCAGTCACGCATTTAAGGTTATTTTTGCGCATTGTCACAAACCAGGCAGATTGGATTAACAATAGATAATGTTAGGAAGGCTAGATCATATGGGTGAGGAAGCTTGCGCATTCATGTTTAAAATTTGTAGAGCAAGAAAAATCTAAAACAAACCAAGTGTCTGAAACCCTTGTGAGTTTCCTACTGACACAATCGAAGAATAAACGAATAAAAAGTCGAACAGGGTGAGCTGGTTCAATATGAAGCCAAATTACAGGCGAGGCTGATAATTAGAATGTTTTTAAATGTGGAGAGCACTAAGGAGTTCAGCACTGTTAAGGGTTCCTCTGGTCGACGAAAGAGGCTACTTGAAATTCGTTTCAAGCAGTGTGGAAAACTTATGACAGTCATACCATCGACTACAATTGAGAGTTCATGAAATTAAGACTGATAACCCTTGATTTCTCAACCAATCATTATGAAAACGACATCTTTATCAGCACTTTTAAACATGGTCCTCTGGATAGCCATCTGCTCAAGCATTTGTGCTTCCTTAGAGAAAAAAAGCGCTATGCAGTAGTACCAGTGCTAATATTAGACACCCATATTCTCACTGAAATGATCCAACTCACTATCCTTATTTATCATCAACCACACACATCTTGTTAACTTTCCGAAAATCTAGATTGAGTACGCGACTACGCATGAAAAAGGCATATCCTGACATTGCTGAAATGATGGTAAAAATGAGCAAGAACTACAACTACCAGTATGGCCATACTCACGCTCTTAGCTGCTTCTCGCAAACAATTGTTACACATGAAAACATTAAAATTAATGCTAATCTAGTGAGCCTGAGGTGTAAACAAGTTTGACGCAACTTCCTTAAACCCTTATTCGACTGGAAATTTAGACTGTTTGCCCTGCCATGGTCTATCTTGAATCATCAGTTCGTCATAAGACCCATGTAATTTCCTGAATTTTCCGAAAAGCAAAAAAGGAGTTAAAAGGGGAAGGCAACAACGTAAAATTTGGGTCCGTACTTCGACTTAACCGTGCTGACAACATCCTTTCGCCAATCCGCATCGCAGATAACAAGGCGCGTATCTGGCCCCATCCGTAAACCAGCGGCAGACAGCGACGGAGAGCGGGCATGTAGGAGGACAAGAAGGGGACCCTGAATGCCGCTGGGCCAGGCGTTCACCTGGTCTACCCACAGCGATCTTCCACTCTTGGCATGACTATCGTCCAGTAGCAGCATAGAATCATCCTCACCGTCTGCATCTAGCTGGTCGATAGGAGCACGGAGAAGAGCAAGACTGGCCAGATACGGATCAATGGACAACCAGGCAGTGAGGAGGTCGAGCAGTGCAGTGCGATGGCAAAGAAGGAAGATTACACGGGGACGTCGGGAGGGAGTTCGATTTGTGTGATTCTGCGATAGATGTGTCTCAGAAGGTCGGGACGATGGCGACGGTGATCGTACCAGATCGAGCAGAAGACTGCGCAACCGTTGAATTTTACCTGAAATGAAGACCCACATCAATAATGAGACAATTTCATAAATTCTGTTCTCTCCTTTATCACAAAATACAAACTGTATATGATTTAAGATACAAATTCAAATCATTACCATATTTAATCGTCTGAAACTGCTTTTCAAAAAAATCACAAGAGTAACAAAGGCTAAATTGAGAGCTGATTGTACGAATTCCATTTCATCTAGCAAGAATTTAAAATAAAACGTGAAGAGGAATTACCCACTCTTTTAAACACATTCTCAATAGTTCTATCAATATTAGCGTAAAATGACCTTAAAACCCTTTTATTTCATTTATTCCAACAAAATGCCTAACATGCGCGGACCGTGAAAAATAGGGGCACTCAGATTTCAGTAAATCCACAAACTTTGATCAGGATATTGAAAGGCAACCAAGGCTTCTTTAGAAACCAATTGGTTTTTCTTAAGATCGATTTCAATGCTTCAAGTAAATGGGAAAATACAGCTTCGAATGAAAAATGTTTTAAAACCGGAAAAGACAGAAATCTGCCACAAGTAAACACGCGACCTACAAAAAGTACGACCAAGTTAAATTTTGGTTGCCAAGCTTCAAAACGACTAAACATAGTTCGAAAATAACTTTGAGTGGGAACAAAATGGGAACTTTTGACCGCAAAAGAGAGACTTTTTTGAACCTGATTTCACTCTTTTAGATGCGTTTGGCGTCCATAATGACGTACCAGAGGAGGTGAGAAACTGGGGTAGAAGATGAGGTATTGTTTGAGGACAAAGCCAGCGAGTGGAGGACAAGAGAGGATAAAATTGATTGATAACCGTCTCTACATCCACTGATTTCAGGGGACATGTAGATGTAGTCGCTAATTGTAATGGCAAGCCGACAGCTTTGTCACGAGTGCAGAGTAGGCTGAAGGGCGAGCTATTTCAAGACAAAAGGGTAGAATATTACTAGAAAATAGCTGATAAGACTGAGATCGAAAGAACTCGAGGTTATGATAAATAGACCCACAAAAAGATCTGCAAGTGTATCAACAAATTTGGTAGTGTTTAACCAATATTAACCAGTCCACGCTCATTATTTGTTCACGCATCCGTTGCTAAATTCAAAGGTATTTTCTTGGGAATGACAGCTGCACAATCATTCTAGCTTGAGACCAAACCACCTCAAGAGAGGTGGGGATTGGAAAGGAGGTCATATTCATTATTCTGCAAAGTAATTTTAAAATTGGTTGCATGAAGATCTAGTCAAAAGGAAAGATGCGAGCGCTAGACTTGACAGCTTAAAAATAAGCATTAACTCGCCTAAACAGAGGCAAGTGCTCAAATCGGTCCTGCACAACTCGGCAGAGCTCGAAAGAGGAATCAATGAAAGGCAGAGCGGGGAAGACATTGACTCCCAGAGGAAGGAGCGAAGGTTCACGGGAAAGGGCGTGGATACGATCCATCGTTGCCACGCTGCACCAATCTGTGTGTCCCTCTAACTCTAGCCGGGTTCTTTGATACTGCCACAACAGTTGATGTAACCGGCTCTAGGTGGAGAGAAAAGCAGCAAAGTTTCAAGAATACTTAGTGTAAGCAAAAAGAGATAGGAGAAAGAAAGCAATCCCCACTTTGCCTTCAGCACTGAGGATGTGATTTGGAACTGCTGACGAGCCCTGCTCAACGAGGTCGGCATTAGTAGGAAGGGGTGATTCCATCTCTACTGATGAACTCAGATGAATATCCATAGGCTCGGCGATGGCTAAAAGAAGCGGGGTAACAAATTGAACTACGAATGCACGGCTTCATTGGAATTTAAGAGTATATAGGGTTTTAAGGGGCAACAACATGAAAGTGTATGGGATTAAACGACTCCCATTTTGACAGATAGAGGATGACAAATTCACCAACTTTAGATACATCGTTTGATGGGTTGAGCCATATATGGTGGACACAAACAAATGAAGGATGAGGAAGCTCATATTTTGTAAATCAAATTTATATCAAACAAAATACCTCTAGTTGATAAACTTCAATTGAATGGCTCCATTACATCAATCTTAGAAAGAAGCCTAAACTTTATGAAGAGTGTAGTCAAGACTGAGGCTATCGAACGAAATGAAAACAACTACACAAACAAAATGTTTTACCAAATTATCCAAATGCAAGTGAAAAAGGTTGAGCTAATGCAGTGAAGTAGCAAGAAAAGATCGCGAATATAACAGGTTCCATGTGACAGTGGACGGGGAATCAAAACATGCATAAGCACGAGGATGTGTTTCAAAATTTCACAAAAAACTCAAACCAGCATCAGATATGACTCAATAACTAGGTATTCTCCAAAAAGGACCAATAAAGCGGCCTAGGAGCTAGAAAATAACTGCTCCTAGAGCAACAGAGATTGATGCAAAATGACAATAAGAGGGAGTCCTTTAACATTCACTATAAAATCGCCTAAGTTCAGTTGACTTCGATAAAAAATCAAAACAGATTAATAGAGCAAAGCAGGTCGACTTACTTTCATTCTTAGCATATGACGCGTTTGCCGTCTCCAGGAGAACTGTTCGAAGGGTATCTCGAGTGATGAAAGGTTCTTCCTGCTCTTCGATACTCCCCACTGGGGCCACTTGTCCCCTCCTCAATCTCTTTATTGCTAACAGGGGGGTCCCGGATGTCTCGCCAGCCCGCTTCGAGGGGCACGGCGTAATTAGCAAGTGCTTTAACTGTTCTGCATCCGGCAGCAATTGCATTAATCGCGAACGTACATGTGCTGGTGCTTGTAGGGCTGACGGGAGGTGCAACAGATGAGGTGAGATTTCGTCGTCTGTACGTCGCAGCTCCAAAAGGGACGCAGGACCATCAAAATGCAGGCCAGGGACAGTAACAAGGGGTGGGGAGAAAGCGGGTTCCCGGTCCTGCAGCAACCATTGCGCGGGTTCATCAAAACAGCTGAGAAGCCAAGGATGGCAACAGAGCCGCGCACCCGCCGATAGACAGTTGAGAAGATCAGTAAGATGACCCGACCTCACTGCACGTTCACAACTGAAGAAGAAGGGGGAAGCGGTTTAAAAAACAAGTAGAAACCGGCAACTACGCACATGAACAGATTTACGTTTTGTCGGTTAGAATATGGTCATGAAGGGCTCGCTGCTGATCAGTCAGATGGTCAGAAACGACATCGATTCGGACTAGGTCCTCTATTCGATTACTACTTCTTGTTGCTGATTCATCCTCATCTTCTTCATCCTCCTCATCATCAATGAAGCGATAAAGGAAGGGTTCTAGAGCCCTCATCACCTCGTCTCGCGTTGTTACAACCCCCTGCTCCGGTTTAATCAGAGACACTTGTCGTACTAAGTCTTCGACGAAACCGCTACCGTCATTAATATTGGATGATTGAAGGAGGAGGCTAAGGAGAGTTTTCAGATGAGCAGCACAGGGCTCATAGACATCGGTGAAAATGCAAACTCGTTGCCGGGCAGAAGGTAGGAGCCGGCGGAGGAGAAGGCAGACAAGATCAGGAAAAACGGAGGACTCAGAGGGATGTGCTGGATTTGTATTCCCACTAGATAGCTCACTCGCAGTTCCATCATTGATCTGCTCATTTGTGCTCATGTGTGAAATGTTCGCATTGACACTCTGGAACGGTGAAGGGTTGATGAGGTGTTGAACCTGTAAACCAAATATGACACGAATTCAACAATAAAATTGATTTCTGACAAACGGGAAAAATGTATACTCCTAAACTGAAATAGAAAATTATCCTATCGCCTTAATTTCTTTGATGACGAGCCACAACTTCAACCATAAACTTAGATTCATCACGCCTTTTTCCAATCTATTCACTGTTGCTAAAAGCGCACAAAAACCCTTAACGTAGATTGCAACATTTCCCCAAAAAACATCATCCGTTCAAAGTTCAGTCCACTGAAAAGCGGGGAACAAGTACTAAACTTAGGTAATGAGTTTACTTTTACAACAGTGAAGTGAAGTGGAATGAAACAAAAAGGTTCGGTTCACGGCGTTCACGAGAAAAAATTCGACAATGTGACAGCCTCGATTAATAGATCGTGACCCAACCTTTTAGGCAAAAGGTAAGCCATAAAAGAAACATTACATCCACCAGGTTGGCATAGCTAAGTTCCAGTCAGGCACCAGAACCTTCAAGACTGGTTTGTCTCGTCTAGTAATGTCGGTGGTAGAAATAGTCGCTATAGTAACAGGAGTATGCTTTGAGGCAAGGTAAGTAAAGCTAATAGACTACTACCAAGGCGTCATTCACCTGCAAAAGCAGGCGTTGAAAAGGGCGGTAGTGAATTAAAGAGAACAAA